CTGACTCACTAGATAAGTAGGGAGTTCGCATTGTCGTTTATTTATGATTGTTATCCACCTTTCGATGTCTGAAATAGAAGTTCGACGACTAAAGCGTCACAGAAGATTTGTCACAAAGACTGGGAAACGACAACGAACGAACAGTTTTGAAATCCTGCAGTCGCTTATCTGTGAACTTACAATATTTCGTCATCTTGACCCAAAGCCCAGCTCGTAACTCACTAAATATTTACATGTTGGCGAACCTTGTTTGTGAGGGCTAGTGATACTACATAGCTGCTCAAGCCTCGATAGCTAAAAGAGGAGTTTAAATTCGTGACTCCCTGGTTGTAAGTTGAAGGTTTAGATAAATAAGTTACAACTTCATGTCTAGATGGTAATCACAATGATTAACATTTGGTTACTTAGCTTGCACAGTCTGTTCTTTTTCATATTTTATGATGAACTTTTAAGAATATCCAATGATACTTAACTCTTCTCTAAGCTTGTTCACCAGATGAAAATTTCCAGCTCTACAACTGAATTAAGAGACTAGTCCAGGATAACTAACAGAACAGATGCTTTTCTGGTTAAAGTTCTATCCAGTTCCAAGTTGTTTCTTCATTACACACAGATCTCAATCAGAGAAGCTTTGAAAACCTAGAAACACTGAAGAGCTGCCTCTTTTTCGTCCAGGACTCCTCGGCAGTCCACAACAACCATGGCATGAGCGAGTAGTTCCATGACGATCATAAAGAATCCGTTACTGTTCAGCCATTAGGTTGGAATAAAATAGTTCTCATTTTCTTAATTTTTTACTTCACGATATACCGCGATAATCATCTGTCGTCACCAGCTAGTATTTTTTCCACATATCTAACCTAAATGATCCTACAGGTTAAGAAGTCTCATAAGAATTCCGGCAGATCCATTGAGAAGGGAGTCGCTGATGAGTGCCAGACAGCTTTTGTTGTTGCAAACACTTCGTTTGATTTTAAGCATTACTAGTCCATTAAACAACCTAACTGGTTTCCTAGTGTTTTGAATGATAAGTCTCTCCTAAGTAAATAAAACCCATTACGCCTTTAACATACCCATCGCCGGACTTGCAAAGCAGCCATCTGATGACTGGATCACTGTGACCTAGCTAGAATGCAAGGCTGATTGGTCCAAGTGGTTTCTAACATCTTATGGCAATCACCAGTGTATACTTCTCAATGCTCTTTGTACAAGCCGTCTAACTAATTATTACTTAGCAATGGTGAATGCACACGAAAGAAACTGCATTTTCTCTTATTTCTGCTTCAAATCTATATGAAAAAAATTTGTACTAAACTAGTATCCTTTCTGAATGCTTAGTAGTAGATTTTGCTTATCTTTCTTAATCCTCTTCATTTATCGATCGTATTTCTTCGGTTAACTTTATTCTATCCATCTCATTAGCCTCTGTTACAAGTAGTTATAAACCAACTTCTATCTCGGTAGTTAGAGACTAGAAAAAAGTGTACTACATGTCCCATTTCCAGGTCATATAATGTCTAGCCAAGAAACTAAGGAGAAGTCTGAATTGGTTACTCTTTTCACTTGATTTCTGTAAGTATTTGATTCTTCCTCAAGGATGTATTGGATTTACTGTTATTCTTAAATTCTCGAGTACAATTTATGTTAGAGAACAGTGGCATTTATAGTTAGATGGCTTACACGAAACACAACTGTAGTAGCTTTAGGTATTCGTAAAGTATTACTGATGTATCAGTGTCATAAAGGAGTCAGTTTTCGTTGAATTCTGAAAGTCATCATTTAGAATAGTCTAATAAGTCAGCCAATATTATTTGGTGTTTCTGGAAAAAAAGTTTTAAGCGAAGATACAATAATTCAATCATGTGGCTTATTGCAAAATATCTAAATAATGACTGAATTTTGGTGGATTCTAGCTTAGGGCACCAAAAAGAGATCATGGGAGGCGAATTGAATCACTTCTTCGAGGTTTTGGGACTGGACACTAACTTACTTAGCATATACGGGTAAAACTTGGTGGCTGTGAGGACAAATACTCAATGATGACATTGCGTGGTGGTCGCGCTAAGTCGTGAACTGACAGAAGTTGGAAATATGGACCACTGGATTCCGACCCAGTGGTTCATTAATGATCAGCTGGCCACAGAACCTGAAGGTCACGAGTTCGACCCCTGGTGGGGTCTAGGGTGCGCACTACTGAAGAACCCTCAGTGCTCCCAGGCTTCTAATGTTCCTCCAGATGATGTCAGACCATGATGAAAATCAACTGGAAAAATATACGGGTGCATTCTCACTACATAACTATCCGTTAAATCTACTTTTGACCCAGTTATTCAGGAAACTGAATACAATCCAGCAAGTCGAAAAAATAATCATATTTCCCCTTAAAGAATGAAACAGCGACACCATTCTACCACGCCGGTTTCTCGTTAGCTGCCGATACCCCAATACATCTAAATATTCTACTACAAAACAGTCTGAATCTACACTTAAACGAATTTAGTCAACAAGAGTTGACAAGGTGTACTGATGAATACAAACATCCAGAAAAAGTTAGTATATAATGGATACCTTACACTCTTGAAAGGTATTCAATATATGGCGTAACTGGAAACTTTTCAGGTTCGCTGAAGCTGTAGCAATCAAACGACTGAAACCCGATTTATGGATTCAAAAAGATGTGATGGTCGATGTTCTTTGTGCTAGAAAACTGACGTTTTCCTCTTCATCTTAATTGATGAAATCATCTTCTGACTGAACCTTCCTCTGTTTGTACCAACTGAGTTCGACTAAATATATTCCTACACAGTTTGTCCGTCATGTATTACCATCTAACCTATCTGTTTATCTTATCATTTAATATTTTGTTCTGACTACCATAACACTTTGCTACTCTTAGTATTATTCTCCTTGAGCTGCCTGTTGAATCAGATATACTTCTGTGACTTCTTAGTATGTCATGTCAGCTTTATCCGAATTTTTGTATTCCTTTTCGAAAACCGCATTGTTATCTAATTTCATTTGACTATAACTTCAAACCCTTTTGTCATCTGACATTTAAATATCGTATTTTGTAAATAGACGATGAAAAATCGGTGAAACAGAGTATTAGCATGTTACTGTGCTCCAGTTCCTGTTCTTTCTCTTTCCAAGTAAAGTTATAAACCTTGTCAGTAGAGGGAGTTTTACTGTTATGTAACTGTACTCAGTAGCTCAAACTTCACTAGGATTGCCATCTTCACTTTAATATAACTTTGAGTAAGCCTCTTCAAGATTTATTTATCGCTTTAAATGTCGCTTATTTCCCGACCAGTGAGGAATGTTTACCGTGCATTTTTTCCAAGGATATGACAACTCATTATATGAACAACAGATTTAGTCTGATTTCGTTCTTCTTCAACTGACCCAGTTATTTCATCTAACCAGCGAAAGGGATTGAAAAGGAGGTTGTTAAATATTCACTGTTTACCACCACCAGTGTTTTCACGTACAAACTAAGAACACATAAGCATCTGGAAATTAAATACTTGCGCAAATATGCTGCGAAATTAGAAACATCTTACTACTTTCTACTTATTATACCCTTCCCATGGATTTCCTACCTTCATTGGTCTCGTCTTTACTGTCAGTATTAGAATGTGTGGTGACCTGAACAGATCCTATGTCGTTTTGTTTGTCTTCCATGATGTCTTTGAATACCGACGGCCTTAATCAATGCTGAACTGTCTTGATAATCGTCGAACCCTTACCTGACCAGCTGTGGTAATTAGGTTCATCATGTCTGTATCATTGAATGAAGACGATTGAAACATAAGCTGATTTGTTACAGTACTACTGATGTCTAATATTCTGCTTTCAATGCTCTACTCTGTCGTTCAACTTCATACTAGTAACAACAGATTAGCCAGTATACTCTAAGGTTGGCATGGAATGATTTCATGTATTCGCGTGTGCTGAGAACTATATATGAACTATCGTTTGAATGTTGATAGTCGGTCGGCGGGAACCCCTGAACCTAGATTTCATGTTTGCTGGATGGATTATTGTGAAGAATAAGAATCGGAGATTCAGATAACACAAAGTGTTTATTCACCTTTTGAGATAACAGAATTCATTGTTTGAGCTATTGACTGGATGTTGCCCCAGCAGCAGACATTTCACCAATTTGCAGTAAGTGCTGGTTAAGCTGGTGAAAGTGGACAGTTGTGGGAGGTGATTGGACACATGGAGTTGTAGACGGCTAGAGAATTGCATCACCACCTACAGACAATTGTGAAGCCTGAAGAATAAAGGAGAACTGTTGTGTCGCACCTGCCGGATTACGGGAGGACTGTAGTTGAAGAGTGGTATAACAAGCAGTTGGCACAGCTGTTTGATGTTCTGGATGAACATTGATGACAGTAACCACTCCACTGGGTCCTGGTGGTGCTGCCACTGGCATTGGTGATACGGTGACTATTCGTGGAGCTGACATGACAACCATTTGGTTCTGTGATTGGTGTTGTTGCAAGACTTGTTGTTGTTGTTGTGTGTGTCGAATTAACCTGATGGACTGTTGCAAAAGAAATGCATGCTGTTTTCGATGGAGTTCTTCAAATTTCGACTGCTCAACTTGTTGCTGTTGAAGTCCATATTTGTTGTATAATTTTTGAGTGTTAAGGCAGAAGTGGAACCACTGACCTGTTTTATCGACATACCTTTTGACTGTCTATTGTTATTTGATTATCTGATGGTTTCGACTTTGATTTTCTTCTCGCGTCAACTGAAATATCATTAGAGGTTTGAGAGACAGTGGCATACTTACACTGTCATCAGTAGATGTAACTCGATTTAAAACGATTTCATTGAGTAAATTTGCATCACTGAAACGGGCATCAGGAGGTGTAGCAGGTTCAACCTCCGTTTAAGAGTTTGCTTTCTTCCACACAAACTGATTGACACTGGTTGTGTAACACGATGTTTTGTAATGTCATGAAATACTACTTCAGAGTCGGGTAACTCAGCTAAATCCCCACGTACATAATCACGTATTTTCTCAGAGCCAAAAAGAAAGGCAGTTTGTCTTCAGCACGTGGAAGTTGTGTACAGCTTCCGCTGGTAGACGGCATAACAAAAGTGATTGTATCTGTCCCCTGTAAAGTTATGGGTTGCCTGCCCATGCAAAAAATCTTGTGTCCAACATATGCCTCATAAGTAGATTTACCATTGAATGCAACAATTTTAGGTGTGTACTTCTTCATTTTTTTGAGCATAATAGCTATGCCGACTTTCTCCTGTTTACGTGTTAGTCTACCTGTTCGTGGAGTTGGTGTTGTCGAGAAATTAGTGAATCCGATGCCATAATCCAACATTTTGTAGTCATCATAGCAACTGACATCCGTTGGAACCAAACCAGCCATTGATAAACATGTCCAGAAGTAGTCTCTACCATCAGCATAATGATGTCCCACATATACTGAAGTCAAAGTCGGACTTTTCCCTACTATCACAATATCCAGTCCTTCTTTTAAATGATCAGGAAGTATTTTGTTTCTTAATTCCTCTTGAGAGTGCCGAATGAAATGTTTAATATGTTTTACCGACTGTGAAATTGTTATCTCATGATCTGATGAAAAGTGTGTATTGCCGTTACTCATTTCCCCAGGTGACATTAATATCTCACCTCGTTCATCACTTGTTATTGAGACAATTGCAGTATCATTCTGAACTGTTGACTTATCCATACCAATGACTTCTTTTTTGACCGTTAATCCGATATCGAAATTGTCTGATTTTTTCTGCCTGTAGGTTGTGTGTGCTGTTCATTCCACTCCATGACTGTAAATTAATGAGGATTTTTTCAAATCAGCGTTAAAATATCGCTTGACTTCTGTGAGATATGATAATTCACTCACTTTTGAACTGTCATCACATCACGTCACACGATGTGAGATTTGTATTTCATTGACTGTTCATGACTGGACTCACGTTGTTGTTCAAAAGAATTCAGCTCACTTGACGTAGTAATCATTTTTCCTAGTGAACTAAACTAGTGTGGAGGAAAGTGAATTATGTATGTGTATTCTGAATTTTCAAATGTGAATGGTTTACTTGTGCTCCCAATTCTCATGAATCTACTTTAACGAGCTTAGTGGGACTGAGTGAGTGTAATTCACTCAAGCGAATTGTTTGAGTGATTCAAGTTATTGTGATTTGATTGTTTGCTTGGTCGTTACACCGGAAACTTGTATTTGTGATGAGGATAAAATTGACTGAATCCGTCGACACAGTGTGTGGATGTGGATGAAAGAATTAGGGATTGTGAGTGATATTTGGAGCTCATGGTGTGGGTGTTCAGAGGGATTCATTCTGCGAGTTATCTTATGAAGCTCTTGTGGACTGATGACAGTATCTAGGATAGCATTGTAAGGCTTGGTAACTGATGCCTATTTCAGAGAACGACATACTCAGTAGAGAATTGTGAATTCTCTGTAACGGCAGTGTTCGGCTTCAATTCAAAAAATAAGGTTTCAAATAGGATGCCACGATCCATAGACGGCCGAAACCTTAGCCATAAAAAAAGTATTAGACCAAAACAATATGCTCAATAGAAATTTCGCACCCATTCACTGTTCCATAACTTTGCAATATCTCTAGTATTGTTTAGCTAGTTGGAGAGTTTTGATTTTTCTGTTACCATAATCGTTGAATACCGTTAGTTCTATTGTCGGTGAGTAAACTTGTTTGTTTTATTCTTATTTTTTTTAATATAATTAACTTGCTCTACCACTACTGTTTCTTCATTTAATTTCATTTTACCCCACATCTGATTTTCGATGGTCTTATAACATGTTTCATCAATTAGGATTTTACTTAATCTCTCTTGTAAAGTGTAGTGTAGGATTTGGGCACTGTTATAGTGTGTAATTTAATATTACGTTAGTATATTTGATACAACAGATAGAGGTGTAGTATTATTTACCGCATAACATTTTGAGTATATTTATTGCTAATGATCACATCCAGATAATGACACTGCTTATCTTTGGCTTTTACAGTTCTACTGCTTTTCATTCCTCGACTTCATTTGTAGTGGGATTCTGCATACATTTGGAATCAATATAGAAGCACTCCCATCACACCTGTTAAGCGTCGTATCGATGAACAAGGAATCAGTGGTCAACGTATCCCTTCACCTGACTAAACGTGTTTTTATTTACCAGTCCATTGTGTGGTTGCGTCTTATCAAATGCATGGCCATGGCTGACTCCTCCTCTTGATTACTCATCTTTGCGTGGATTCTACAAGTAGTTCATTTCATGTATATAAATTGTCTACCAATTTGTTAACATTCCGTGTATATGTTTCTAGGTATCAGAAATCAATACTCCAAGGTTGATGAGCATTATGAGACCTGAAGAAATAAATTGCTTGCTTAATACTGTCAAGCGAATTTTTTGGGACAAAGAAATTCCGTTGTGAAGAAAACTAAATTCAATCATACTTTGAAAGCTGAATTAAATACTGGATTTTATTTCAGTAGTACACCTACAATACAGTAACACCACATTGACGATACGAATTTGACAGAAGCATAAAAAGTAAACGAGTAATTGTTGACTGCAGCACTGAATGACATAGATTAGAATCTTAGGGAAGATACCAGTTCCTTCGACGTTATAGATACGCCACGCTGACCGGTGTCATCAATCATCAAACCGCGGTGCAGGCCTTCCCACTGACTGCCCCCAACCAACTAATACCTATCAATCTTCTTTTCGTTCAAGACTTGCTTTGATAATGGTTTCCTGGCGCTCTTCTGAAATACGAGATCAGCTGATTCGAATGTAAAGACAAAACATTGTCGATGGCCTTGAAAATAATGCTTCCTACGTTTTGAAAGTAAGGATATATGGGCTATTCAAATTCAGTCGAGTCATTCTTATATGGTTTTGTAGATTAGTATTGCGGAGGAGTCTAGCTACCTAGTGATTTCTGGTTTATAATGATTTCCCGAATGATGAAAACTGTTGCGAAGTCAGTAAATTTCCGATCAAATAGTTGTGATGTAGCTAGAGTTACACCATATTTTGCTGCTTTCAAGTCCCACTGATACTGACAGTTAGTTTAGTTTTTAACCTACAAGTATCTAATAATTGACTTAGTAAATTCAAATGAAATGAAACATTGGTATGCATTACATTTTAGAAATAAAAAATTAACATAAAGATAAGATGGGACAGTATATCGTGTTTTTGTTTCGTATTTGTACTGGTCATTTTAGATATTTCTAAAAAAGTTACAATTGATGAGATTACCGAATTTATTTAATCTCTATACACATGTATTCTGCTTTCCGTTGGTAAAAGAATTCTTGATTATATTTAACTGAAATAGATATTCCTTTGCTGTTCATTTTTCAATGGATATTTACTTAGTGTTCAATATTATTATTACTGACATTTCGACTTGATCTATTTGAATTTAGGTGTGATTTGAGAATTATTATTATTATTCCAAACTGAAGCATTTTGAAAGTCAGAGCCTTGGATATCTCTGGAGATTGAATTCACAGTTGCCTCCTGAATTCTACGACTAACCATTATCAGATAAGAGTAATATATGACCGCAGGCAGTGTCGAGGCATCCGTTCAGGGGGCCAGTGTGTCAACAGATATTGATGAGCACACTCCTGGAAGTTATTTGAAAAAAAGTTTGACAAAATTTGATAGTAAACGAACGATGATATTTAGTGAGAATTCTCATCAGAGAATGGCTATAGACAGGTTAGGCTTTTAGGAATAAATCCCTGTATGTATCTCATGTGTGCATCTCGTGATAACAAGACGCAAACTGACAGTTTGTCAACGCTTAACTACTAGACTAACAGTACTGTTGAGGATTCCCACACCAGGACGAAACAGCTGTCCATTGTTTCCACGTTTTCAATGGTTCCTAAAATGATGTCACTCCGGGATGAGTGCTACCTCATAACAGTATATGTTATTGACAACAGTGTCACTCATTTGAGTGATTTACCGATGAATTCATTTATGAATATTCTTGAAAGATAAAACACTTTGATTGATTCATTTGACTTAACTGTATCTCATACAACATTTATTAATAAGTTTGACTTGAATTCTGTTTTGCACTGTCATCATGATTACTTTTCCTTTATCACTGTTCCAGGGAGATTACATTATTGGTTATCCCATTTGAAATACCATAAGGGTAACAGATAAATTTAATGACCAACCAATTTCAAATTTCTATCTTCTCTCTTGCACATAACAATGATTGATTTATCTGTGTTTCATTCGGAAGGGCTTTCGACACATGTCAGTCATTCTTTTTGCTTTCTCGGTCAGCTTCGTGTCAGTTTTGTGATTTTTCAAGGGGATATTTGTGCTTCTTGTAGACATGATGCATCTTTTTCCTCATACTTGTGAGAAATAAGCGTATTTTTACTAAATGTGAAGTCTGAAATTCATGCTTATTTCTGGGTAATGAGCCGTTTCATATGACTGTTGTATTGTTACTCCAGTTTCAAACTTAGATGTTGTTTTTTAAAAAAATTTCAGGTTGATTATTACAGTCGAATTTGTTCGATTAAATAGCCTAAAAACAAACCTCAATACCTTAAATACTGCCTGCTAACCGGCGGCTGCAGTGTATAACAGTTGGATGAAGCCCAAAGTAGCAAATATCTCACTGTATGCTAACAGAATAAAGATAGTAAATAATATGGGATACGTGGTATATTTTTTTTACAGCTGCATGCATCATTCTTGCTCCTACATTACTATTCCCAGACCAAGCAATAATAACCCCGTGGCACCCATGACCATAGACATCAGCCGGGTATTTGGTTGTGTAATATCCACTAGTCGTTATATTAGCTGAGTTCAAATAGCTGACGCCCCTGTAATCCGCTTGGATACATTAGATAGTTACGAAACGTAGGGGAACCCATGTACCTAAGATTAACGATATAATTTCTTCATCTGCGGTTGTGTATATGGCCAAAAAAGGGAATCGAGAGGCGTGAGCCTGCCAATTCGTTAGTAACATGGCTAGGGATTCATTTTCGTAGCTTCAAATATACAGGGCATAAATCTGGGTTTCAATTCCATTATGACTGTGTAGATTTCGTTTTGAGTGAAGTAAACACTATGCAATACTATAAATACAGTTTAGAATTCAAGAAAGGTCATCCTTTTCCTGAAGGTTGATCACTGAAGGAGAAGAAAACATGTGTTTTCTTTAGGAATATTGCGCTGACGAAGAAGGCGTCAAGGATGGATTTGAAGATGCTTCAATTAGCAGTGATGTGCATAACCTAAGAAACCTCACTAGATCGGGTAAGTTATAAATAATTAGCTTGTGTGTCATAGGATTACCATTGAATGTGGATGCTTTCTCAAAGTCAAGAGAATATGGGAAGTTACTGAAATGCCGTAAACTGTATTTGTTTTACCATAAACTAAATAGGTTGGTGGTACCAACGATACGGAGAGGTGGTTGGTTTAGGTTCCACTTACAATACGAACAATGGAAGGTAAATACATTTTGTATCTGCTATTGTATATTCTAAAGCTACTCGATTTTTTAGTTGGTTGTGCCAGATAATTTCGGTCACAGAAAACTTGTTTTGTTGACATAGACAAGACAGGAAAGGACGAAAGATGTAATGAAACTCCTAATGCAGCTCAGCAGAACAGTGCAAGACACCTCCATTGCA